GTAATGACCACATAGAATTGAAATATAATTTTATTGTGTATATATGTGTAGGTAAGCGTAATTGAAAACACCTTTCAAATGAACATTAGATTAACAATGAAGAATGGATAAAGTGATGAAAGTTATAGTAAGATGTGATGTAGTTTCTTTTTCCATTGTGTAGTGTTTTCCCAATAAAGATACTGAAAGTTTAGTAAATATTCCCAGACCATTTAAAAGCTGAAGTGATGGAGCTGACGCAATGTTAAATATAAAGTACTTGTAAAAACATGGGGACATGCAAGCGTGTGGCTGCCAGGCATAATTTAAAGGTGGTTTTCTTAACTGTAGGGTTCCAGGTTATACGGATTAGCCATTCTGATGCTGTTATGAGATGTGTCATCAAAAGCAGACTGTATACAAACTATATATCCTACTGTCTTAACAGGCATGTGAGGCCCAGTGCAATTCCACAAGGTGCTTTGCTCATCCAGCTAAGTACATATTGAAATTGGTGGATGAGAAATTAAGTTAACTTCATGCATTTCATGCATTGTGGATGAAATTAAATTTCTTCTAATGTATACAGTTGAGTGACATAGGAAGTTTTTATTTATATAAAAGACAACTTATGAAGGTATTGTGGCACCGAGAGATCAATTTTTTGGATGAAAATATAATTGTAGACTGTGTGCTTTGAGAACATGTTCATCTTGAACCTGTAGAAGCTGACTCAGCTAGGGACTCTAATCACAGTCACATCTTTTTCTAAATTGTGGTGTGGTAATGTTTAATCTGGTGAGTGAAATATTGCTATCTACATAAGGATTCAATTCACCAAAGCCCAGATTCAGACGTTCTCAGTTGCTTAGTCTTGAAAACAACCATAACTACTTCAGTTGCTTGAAGTATGCACAGCAAGCATCCAACAAATTTCCTCCTGTCTTCTTACCGAGCCTTGCAGTGTGTATATTTTACTGTTGAATTTTAAAGAGGTAGAAATAATTTGTCCTTTAGGATACAGATCCATAGACAAGTAAAAGTGGAATGGTACTAGTTAAGAGATATAGAAAAACTATGTGATAGCAAAGTAAAAATTATATTACAGTCAATAAGCTACTGTGTGGAAAAGTTTGGAAACTCCCCATTTTATGTTACTGAATTGCTCAAAAGGCCTATTTCAATAAGATCTATTACCTGTGGTTTTGTGGGGGTTTGGATCATCTTTTTTTTTTTTTTCTTTTTTCTTTTCTTTCAATTTTCTCCTGTTACCAAGCTCACTGAAGACACAAAATAAGAAATAGGTATTCTAAATATTTACTCACAGTTTATGAATAACTGTGCTTGATGACCTATAGGAAGGGTTCTTAAAATGTGGCATACCTGCCTCTTGTGGTATGCAAACCACAGCAGCAAAGATAATCCATCCTCACTGCCTTTCTCAAGAGAAGATAGAAGTCAGCCTTCTGCCTTTACATGTAGCCTGATCCAGCAGTGTTGGAGATGGCTGTCAGTATCACTGCTCCTGTGCGAGGAGAGGAAGCCATAGGGATGGACAGCAAAGATTGAAATGTTGCTCTTCTTGCAGCAACGATATATCACAATTCTTTCCATGGCAAAAGAATGTCCACGTGACAAAATTTTTGTTTCAGAAGCAACAGTCTTTAGCTAATTATAAAGGTGATCTGATTTTTGGTGCATTGTAAAGATCTTAATAACCCATGGTCTAATTTTTAACTAGTGCATGTTACCCTAAAGAACAAATATTCAGAAATGCATAATTTCTGAAATAATTAAGGAAAACAATTTTGTAGTAGATCAGTTAAACATTTCAGTAACTTTGAGAATTGAAATATCCTCTGTTACTGGCTATTGATATTAAAGAAGTGTTGGAGATATACATTCTGATGTAGTGATGGTGGGGGGAAGTTATTGTTTGTTACTTTGTATTGGTAATCACCATAACTGCATTTTAATTATGTACCGCACTCTACATCACAGACAATGGCTGTGAATGAGTCAACATTGAAAATTTTGCCAAATCCTGTTCAGTGTATAGTCTACTCAACTGAGGTACAAAATATAGTGGTCCTTGTAAGAGATGAGGACAATGGAAATTTTTTGGTTGTTTGTAAGCTGATTTATTGTAAGGGTGGTGAGACACTGGAACAGGTTGCCCAGAGAAGTTGTGGATGCCCCATCCCTGGAAGCGTCCAAGGCCAGGTTGGATGGGGCTTTGAGCAACCTGGTCTAGTGGAAGGTGTGCATGCCCATGGCAGGAGGGCTGGAACTAGATGATCTTTAAGGTCCCTTCCAACCCAAACCATTCAATGAGTCTATGATTTTGACTTTCCTGTGTTAGGGACATGTATGGAACAGGGAGGATTTTTTTCTGTTTATTTTACGCTGTGTTTTCTATGGCCACTGCTCCGCCTTATTTGTTGATGGCACATAAATTTTTGAGAGGCAGGAAAAAAAATCCCAATTTTCTGTAAGAATGAACATATTTAAGTCAAAACTCTGAATGAAAATTGATGTATATAGACAAAGCTAGAATTAAAACCAAAAAAGCCTAACAAAAAATCCTTGGCTGTGATTTTTAAGTTATTATTTAAGTTGTATTTTGTTTTCATTTTAATGAGAAAGGTTTGTAAGGTGGCCTCTGAGACAATAAAAGCACCAGCATGTATTTATTTGCCCGTGATAACTTTCAGCTACCAGTGCTTATGAGTGAATCTTAGTATCTTGCAAAGTGGTGCACAATGCACCTCTGTCTTCTGGATGGTGATCTTGCTAGGAGCTTTCAGAGTTTACATAGATGCTGACAAATAGGTTCCTATAGGCCTTCCTCCATGCCAATGAGCTCCTGAAACACAGAAAGGCTTTCAAGATGTGAAGAAAACAGGAGAAATACATGCTTACACACACACACACAATTACTTTGCATGACTAATCTGTTTTGTTGTCTTTTTAAAGAATGGAGAATGTGGATTGTGATCTATGGAGGAATGTGTTTAGAGCAAACGCACTATGGATTTATGTCCCAATTTAATTCCTGGTTTCCTTAAAAAATGGTAAATGATAAAACGCTGTGTGTGTCAGTATGTGTATATATATTTATATTAAGTTTGAGAGCAATGGGTCAATAGAAGTGGTGGTGGGAGGAATGTCAGTATCGTGTTCCAGGCGCTGTTACAGATTTCTTAAGCAATATTAGGTACTTGGATTTATTTATTTCTTTCATTGATTTGTCTTTTCTGTGACATCCAGAAAGTTTAGCCTCAAATAATTATTAAGAATATGCATCATAATAGATGTTGCATAGTTTCATCTTACCACTGATACTGTGCTTGCTTTGAAAAAATATGAAACTGTATTGTCCTGTTAATTGTTACTTGTGTATAAAGGACTGTTCATGTGCGTTCAACCGTTCACATTTCTTTGCATATTTGGACACTTAGTTTAGTATGCTTACCTGCATATAGATTTAAGAATTTTCAAACTAAGGCTTTAAAATATGATCCCTTGCTTTCTATTTCTACTTTGTTGTGTTAATGTAGAATGGTTTGTTCATATGTATATGTAAAATTTGATATATTGTGTATGTAATTGTGTATGTGTGTAATGTGGAATGTTAAAACTAAGCATCTAGTTGTCTGGAAAAAGTTAAGCTAGAAAGTTTATTAAAGTACAATCTTGCTGTATTTCTAATGTAAAAAGAATACACCTTAATGAAAAGTTTGCATCTGCTAGCAATTGAATCGCCAATCAACTGATGTATTAGTAAAGTAAACTTTGCCAATGAGAAATCTGGGGTGGGACTGTTCTGAAATAAGTGTGTGGGGCGTGTGTCATAAAAGTGACTCTTCCCCTCAAGCCTCAGCTACAATGCAGTGTAGCAGTAATTGAGCAGTAGAGGTTGTGTATCAATGGCACTCCCCACATAATGATCAAAATTTGTGGAGGCAGCGTATAGAGAGTCAAGAATCTGGTAACAGTGCATCCAGTGAGCCAAGCGTCATACAACCAAACCCATCTGACTGCACAAAGGGTAGAAACTGTGTAGGATACCAGCTGATTTTTTTTTCTATGCCTTACACTTTATTCTGAACTCTCATGTGATTGTTGTATGGTTTGGTTTTTGGCTTTTGTAATTAAAAAAATTCTTTGTAGAATGGAATCTGGTCTTCTCAGCCATATTCCTTTGAAAAATGGATGGCTTTGAAGAGTTGTGGTTTAAATAGGTTGTCATATAAACAATTTTAATAATCATATTTTGTTGTTTTATTAACATCTCTAATTAAATTCAGGGAATACTACCATATTATTCATTCTGACAAGCCAAAGGAATAAGGACGTTGCGTCAGTCTTGAATGCTTGCTAGTCTGAAGCATTAGAGGTTCCAGGGCTATATTAATTACCTCTTTCAAATTCGGGATAAATATTTTTTTGTTTTCTAGGGAGCATAACTTAACATTAATATAAAGTAATTTTGAGAGATTTGTAATCTGGTATCACTGAAAACATCTATGGAGGTTAATCGACGCAGTTTCTGTGGCTGGCAAAACTAGTTATGTGATTACAAACAAAATCTAAGTGCATTTGGTAACCATTTTCTGGTGACAAGCCTGGTTGGCAAATTGCAGCCAGAAAGATACTGCACAAGGTAACAGCCTAAAGTTCAGTGTAGCACCAGGACATCTCCTATAAAATAATTTATATATAAACATTTATTTACATATGGGGTGTGTGTATATACACATGTGTATGTACACACAGATATTTATGGTTTCATATGTTTTCTGTGTGTATGTTTTATATACAATTTTTGTCTTTCTGGAGGAGGGTAAAGGGAGAGCCTTGAAAAGTCCTTCCCTGCTCTTATCAACATAGCAGTCTCAGCTGCCCTTCTTGGATCCCCTGCCAGGGTTGCTATCATCTTCTGATCAAATATTAATGTGTGATTCTCTGCTTGCTCACTAATCCAAAGCCAATTAATATTATCTGTCAATTATTTACAG